GGAAACGCAGGTTACGGCTTCAGGGAAGGGGAAGGTCCCCAAATCGTTATCGGAGAGAACAAGAACATGTTCGTCAGGCTCCTTGTTTCAAAGTGTTTTAAAATAAGATACGGTTACGAGGTCTCGGTTGTTTTGGTCGCGCCGAGGGACCGCTTGTGCGTGTCGTGAGGGGTTTCAGCGTGGAGCAGAGGGTAGGCCTCAGCGAGCCGACTCGGTTCTGGTGTGAAACAGCCGTAATTGGAATTTAAAAAAAAAAAAAAATTTTTTTTGGACGTTGTGAATTTGGAAGTGTGCTCTTTAACGGTAAAATCTTTCAAATGCTAATTTGAAGACAGAGGCTTAACATAAATGGAGAGTGACTGGGACCACAGCAGCACCTGCAGCACCGAGTAGTCTGCCAGGGCTCCAGCAGAAGCCTTCTAACAGGATAATTTGGACTTCAGCTCTTGTGGAATGTCTTGGGCTTCCAGATTTCAGGCTGAACATCACATAGATACCGAGAAACCATTTGTCATCAGATGGGTTACTTTCGTCAGAGGCAGAATTTCTGAAAACAGAAACGTGATGGGCTCGCCTGGATTTTCTTTCTGTTTTCTTTAGTTTTGGTGGCTGAAAAATAGTTTAGATACTTGTAAATAAAAATTTGTGGGTGTTTAGCGATGGCTGTTGGGTCATCTGTGTGCATGTTTTAAAGTGATAGCTCGGCTGTTGCAGTTTCTAACAGTAGCTGTCATGAATTGTGGACAGTATAACACAAACTGGTGAAAAAAGCTCACGTCCCTATTATTATGTTACGTTTACTTTATAAGACATGTGAAATAAAAAACCCAAGTACTTTGGAAGTATTCTTAACATTTTCACATCATATGCAGACAACAACAAAGAAGAGCTGCTAAATACGCCGCCAGGTTTATACTACTCTTTGTAGGCCCCACCACTGTACACGTGCTTGCCCCTTCTGCCATGAGCAGCTCACTGAAATTAATGGAACTCTCCTTGGTGGTGCAGTTGAATGCATGCATACTTGTTGGTAAGAATAGGGCCTTAATGAGTAGCCAAATATAGAAATAGACTTACTCGGAAATTTAGATGTACTGCTTAATTTTGGTTCGCTGGTGTTGTATCTGATCCAGAGAACCCAGATATGTCGATACCAAACTGCATGTGTTTGTAGCAAAAGCAACAACTATCTCCCACCATTCTTGGCCTAAGTGAATCAAAGATTTTGGCTCCTAATGCTTATAAATATGTGATTTAGAGTTACAGCTGAGATTTTGCTACTAATTATTCTGAATGAGAATATACCATTTGAATGGAATGAATATGCCATATGAATAACATATACCGCTATTCCTGAATAATTCTTAGTTGTGCAGAGGACCCAGTCTTTATCTTAACCCGAGTTACTCATTCTTGATTAGTTTTGCCGCCTGTCTTTGTTGCGTGATGCAGTATGTCTGAAGAGACAGAGCGTGTATGTTATAAAATAGTAGTTTAGGGGAGAAATGGCACTTGCATAAAGAGTTGTAGATAAAAAACTGCTCTCTAAATGCTTACAAAACATTAGTGAGCAAGGAGAGGAAAAAGGAGTAAGGCTCTGGTGGCAAAACATGCAAGCAGGTTTTATGGAGAGGAGAGTAGGACTATTAGGCATTCATGAGGGAGAAGGAAAGGAAGGGAGAAGGCAGAGGGGAACTTTGAAATATTACAGTTTTGAACATGAGGCTCAAAATGGAGGCTTGTGCTGTCAGTGTGTGCTAGCAGAGACCTGGCATCCTATAAATACAAACTGTACCTCTGTGCCCATTCTGCCACAGACACAACGTTTTCTGTTGTTGAGACACAGGCTAACGAGAGGAGTAAACGAGTAGCCAGGAGATACAAAGGAGAATCTTTCTAAATTTTGCCAGGTTATGATACTAGACTTGCGAAAATATGTTTGCTTTATATAGAAAGCTACCGATCTGGCAGCGTGGAACAGCTCAATTAAATGCTGCTGTTGGAGTCTTTTTAGCATGCATGGAAAAACGGGTATTATAGGCAGATGGGTTGCCCTGTGCACTGGCATCCGTGCAGCACAGCAGAAATAGCATTCATCTACTTATGGAAACTGGAGTAAAGTGGAGTGGTTTTTTTGTACTGCAGGTATATAAGGGAATCGGAGGAGAGCCGCGGGGGGGGCTGTGTGGAGCGTGCAGCCACAAAAGGTGGTCTTTGCGTCTCGTTGTGTATGTGATTGATTTGGAACATGTAGAGAGGGTGGGAGGTTGCTTACAAGACACAAATTAGAGAATGAGGTTTCTGTAGCTTTGTGGGTGGAGGCTTAAAGGGGATGCCTTCCTTTTTCAGATATGAGTATCCACGTAGTTTGTTTCTTGCGATTTAAGTTACAGTCTTTTGACTGGGTGATGATAACCGCAGCCGAACTGAAATTATTTTAAGGATCTAACAAAAATGCTTCAGTTTAGTATGGACTTCAGTCAGTCTTTCTCTTCATCGGGTAGTAGTGACAAGGCAAGCAGATTTTGACATTCCCTATATTGTTCTCTATAAAATGTTGAAGTTGTCCTTTTTCCTTCCAAACCCCGCAGTCTGCTTTTAACGTTGACACTGGAAAAATGGATAGTGAAATGATCCAAGATTCAGATCTGACACATGACTTGAGCTGGGCATTTATTTTTAGCTACAACTGAAGTTTCCAGTGGCAATTACTTCTTTTTCTTTCACTTTTCGCTCTTGCACTGAGAAAACCAACTTTCTCGATTTTACCCTGAAGAAAAAATTCTAGTGTGTGCCTTCATCACTCATGCATCCTTCTGAAATTGATTTACTTTCATTTTCTAGGTGCTGGTGAATCCGGTAAAAGCACAATAGTCAAACAGATGAGGATCTTGCATGTGAATGGATTTAATGCTGAGTAAGTGCATTTGTTTTTTCACTTTACAACCTACCTTATGTCTGTGCACCGCACAGTAGTCATTGCTGTTGTTTTATATCTTGGTATATTTTCTTCTTGCTACTGTTTCACGGTCTCTAGAATTTGGATGTGTATTTTTAGATGAGATTAATAGACATTAACTTGAAGAAGTCATGCACCAATAATAAGTAAGAGCTAACGGTATAAAATGATTTATATCAAGGTTCAGTATAGCTGATTTGCTTAAGGCTTAAGTTTTGTGGTGGTTTTTTTTTTTTTTTTAACTGCAGTTTCTTTCACAACATGGCTGACACTGATTTACCTCTGCTATAGCACATTGATTCATTCTGCTGTAAACATGCCTCCTGTTAGTGTACAGAATGAATGCAATTTTCTTTATTTAGAGCAAGTAAGGCTTTTGTTTCTGTCTCATCACAAAATGAGATTGTACTATGAATTTTGAGGGTAATAGGTTAGATTTTCTTCTCTCTTCTGTTGTGTTTGCTTGTCCAGAGCTTTGTGTTAAATTATGTTTCTAAAAGCTTTTCTTGTTTACGTTTAAAGTCTGTTCAATTATTTGATAGTTGTGAGGAGGGGAAGGGCATTAGGATAAGGAAAATGGAAATCTGTTATTTTGTCTGAGAAAGATTTGCATTTGCTAACTTTTCATCTGACCTTGCTGGGGAGTAGGAAGAGATTCTTCTGCATGTTACTTTACACTTGCAAGCGTCTCTATGTGTGTATACCAAAACCTGCTAAATTAATTCTAATTGAATTAAGGTGTTGGAATTTCAGAGCTTATTCTCTGTGTTTAATTTCTTTAGATTATATTACTGGTTTTGTCTGTCTTGTTTTCAAAGATAATATTTTTGTATTGGCATCCTCTAGCTTCTAGTAGTATCATCTATTTTGTGAATCCTGCCTTTTTGGGAAGATTAAGCTTTCACTAGTCTTTCAGTAGTTAATTCTTTAGTAAGAATGTCTGAGCTAAAAGTTTAGCCAAGGAGCCTGGACAATACTTCTTCCTAATCCCCAAATGCTAGTTCAGGATAAGGTACACAGTCTTTTGGAAGAAAGTTCAGACTGATTAATAATAAATTATATTCTGTGCCACATGTTTTTAGCTCCTGTTTATAGGCAGTATTTCCTCTATCCAGGACGACTCTTCTCATAAGTGCCCAGTCCTGCATCCTGTTACTGCTGAGTTGTCTCCGTTATTTTGGCTGCTCTTGTTACCAAAGACCTCTTAAAAAAGACTTGCATGACTTAAAAGATTTGCATAAGTTGACTTTGATGTAGCAGCTCTCGATATTAGGTGCTAAGTAAAAAGTTGATCAATGAAAGTGGAAGTCAAGGATCCCTGGCAATTTTAAAAGGATCAATCCATTTAACCAGCACAGTTTTTCTAAGTTTTCTAAGCATACAGATGCTCTTAAAGAGATGCTGCTGCTGTGTAACGAACGGTATATTACACGGGTAGATAACCTTCTCAACCCTGCAAGCTGCATACCCAAATTTGTGTGAAACTGGGAGCCCAGAGACCTGTTACACGGAGCTTGGAGAGCTGGGGAGGGACTGGGACACGCTCTGGGATTTGCAACAGTGGTGCATTCCTTGAGTATCTCACTTCGGTGTTGTAGGTTGGGGATGAGCTGAGCGTGCAGCTGGATTCCAGGGCAACATGGCAAATTTGGCCTCAGGAGCCTCTGCTGGCTTCTGCCTTCTCATAGCAAGGGATTTGGATTACCTAGCAGCCCTATGCCAGCACAGCCCTGCTGCCAATCACATAGCATACCCCAGTGTGGGAGCCACACTCAAATTGCTGGGGAGCTGCGTGCAGCTCAGGAGCCATAGGTTGCCCACCCCATGGCATGTTGACTTGCAGCCAGTCCTTTGTGCTTGTCCTTTCGTGGGTGGTATGTATTCGAACATTCAGGTGCGTAAAAATCAAATTAAAAAGTGGTATATATAAAATGTACAAAAAATAAGTTACAATGCATCTAGTTTTAGGTTTTTGTTGTCCAAAATAATCAGTAGATCATAACGTATACTTTAAATGGGGGAGAAGGCTGTTTTTGAGTGTTTTGAAGTTCTTGCAAGTTACACGTTAGTGCTTAAGTAACTTTTATTTTCTTCAAAGTAACTCACCGCTCCCTACATTGTCCTGCTTTCCCTGCTATCCTTTTTGCCCAATTCATTCCCTTTCTGCCCTACTTAACCTTGTGGAAAAATTATGTGGGATTCAGCTAATGAGAGAAATAGCATGGATTTTTTTTGGAAGAGTAGGAAAAGTAAAGCATTACTTCTTTTAATGGTCTTATCAGTCATTCTAGAACATAAACTGGTTTGCACGGAACACCACAGTTGATGTGATGAATAACAGCAGAGAGGTTGTGAAAACTGTAGTATGCTGGAGATGAAGAGACATTTTTTAATGTTAGTGTCCATGTACATAACTGTAGTTTTGAATTCTGAACAGAATTAATTCTGTTGATGCAGCTTATTCATGTGGCTTGAAAGAAATCCAGTTTAAAGTCTTGTCTAAAACTTGTTTGCCTTTGATTTGGTTGCCCTGTGATAATTGATGTTTGAAGCAGAAAGAGGATACCTGTTACGAAAGGTGTCTAATGGGCTACGAACAAGGGAATCAAAAGTTTTTTAGCGTTACTCAAATATTCTTCTTAATTTCTGGCAACTAAACAGGATATCCAGTGCTAAATGCTGAAGTTTCCTTCAGTGAGTGTGGCAATTTTTTAATTTGTTTTGTTTTTAGGGTTCTGCCCCTAAACAGATGAAGTGACAGTTGTCATCTGCATTTAGGTGAATTGGCCTCTTGTAGAGTTGTAGCATTTAACAAGGTGAAATCTGTGTAGTTCTACAAAACTAGACGCATTTCCTCTGGGACTCTAATCCTTGATTGCTTTAGCTAATTAATTATTTGAGGAACTCTATGGAATTGAGTGTTGCAGGTAATTAATATGCTTAATAGTTAACAATGCTAAGGTGAATTTGAAGGTGGTTAAAGCTCTAGCCAAGTTAACTACAGTAAAGACTGTTTAAAAATTTTTCAATGTTCTTTTTATAACCTAGTTGAGTTAGAGACAGGAATACATATTTTTTTGTTGTTCCTGTTGTGAAGGTGGCGTGTGGGAAGTAACAGTGCTGTGGCATTGGTAAGCGGAGTAGAATATTGGAGAAGCAAGGCATGGTCTACAGCACAGGTTCTTCTGGATGGAGTTTTTGGAAGGGCTTCTTAGCCTGCGTCCAGCTCTTGCAGGATGGCTTCAGTTGGCCGTGCTATCAACTGACGTCTTCCTACAGCAATTTCATAGGTGGTGGGAGTGTGGTTTCCCCACAGTATTCTTCCAGTGTGCCTCATCTTTAACATGGAAGAGCTGCATTTTAAGCGTAATGAAGACTACATATCAACCAAATTTTCTACTCTTTGCATTACTGCCAACAACAGAGCCCCTTGTGATGTAGAAAGGGTTTAAATTTGGCTTGTAATAGCAGGAAGCCTGTGACTTCCCTTCCTTTCCTTCCCTCCCTCCTCAACACTTCAGCTGTCTTTCCATGAGGCTATTCCAGAGGAGCAGTTCTCTGCTGTTGCATACTGCATTTTGTGAGCATCCACTGATAAAGGGGAGCTAAAAACCTTCTGGTTTTGACTGTGCAGAAGTTCAGACGCCAATCTGTATGAACCAGAAAGGATTGAAAATAGGAAAGGGAGGACAGGAGGAGTAAGGAATGTAGTTGGAAGAATTAATGTAAATGTACAGTTCGGGTTGAAGAGGGAAAAAAAAAAAAACCCAAACTCTCTTCTGTGCTGTCTCAGGGCTGGGGTTCTTTGCTTCTGAGATGATGGCCTTTCACTGACCTTTTTTTTTTTTTTTTTTTTTAAAAAAAAAAAAGTCATCTTTCCCCTCTGTGATCCCTGTGGGTTTGGCTGACAGATTCTAAGGAGGGGGTCATTGTCATGCACAATTTTAGAAAGTGGGAAATTGGCAAGGGTGATAGACAACTTTGAAGTGTCATGGGAAAGACTGAGACCAACAGAAATATTTAGATAGAAATAAATTGTTGAAATGTGACTTATGAAATCCACTACAGAGATTGACAAATAAGGGAAATGTGCCTTTGTGATTAGTAAGTTTGGATAGTATTTATGATTCAGGAAGTCTTGAGGCTGTAGGGAATTTCAAATAACGCTTCTCAGCCTCAGTTTCCCAAATGATGTTGCATAATGATGACTTTATGTCTTAAACTGGTATGTTGATGTTGAATAGGAGTTTGTGTATTTATCAAACCTGTCAATGATGATGGCAGAAGCAGAACTGAATAGCTTTATTTTCAAGACTTAGATGACAAATATATTTGCATTTCTCTTGTACTTTTAAAAATTATTTTCTCTTAGTGGGGAAGTTAAGAAAGCCAAGTCTCCCTTCTAAAAGTTTGGAACCCTTTTCTCACCTAGATTTAGTAGTTTGCGAGGAAGGAAAAGTAGTCATTGATGCTTTCTAATCTTTTCTTTATACATCTCATCCACCAAAAGTTGAACTGCAGTACCACCATTATTTCACATAAACCAGTAAATGATGTTATTTAGTCACATTGGTCTGTGTCAATCTCTTTTGTGACTGAAATGACTTCTGTCTCAGTAACTTTACTCTTCTGCTATCTGATACTGTGCTTTGTTTTCTAAATTTGGTCTTCTTATGTGTGTGATTTTGTGGAAAGGAAATTAATGTTATGAGCGAGGAAAAACTATCATATTTATAACTAAGTCTTTTAAAATAATGAATTCCCTCCTAATGTCTAATATCAGTTTGTATACACAAACATTGTTGCTCTGTTTTTACAGTTCCTTTAGAGTTGTGTACCCATACCATGTTTTTAGAATGGTCACATCAGTTCCTTGCCAAGAAACAACCTGGCTTTATTGTATTTTACTCTACTGGCAACGAAAGTAATTTTTTCCTGGTGTTTGAGTACCATTGAAA